GGGGAGCACGTAGGACGGCTGCTTGACGAGGGCCGGCTGCTGGGGGACCACGTAGGACGGCTGCTTGACAAGGGCCGGCTGCTGGGGGACCACGTAGGACGGCTGCTTGACGAGGGCCGGCTCCTGGGGGGCCACGTGGGAAGTCGGCGGGGCAAAGGGCATCATCTTCCTGCCACTCACCTCCTTCTGGTCTGCAGGGGCCCTCAGCCGTCTGATGGCAAAGCCACCAAAGTGCTGAGGGATGTTGTGGATCTCTGTCGGGGCAAAGCCCGGACCGGGGGCCCCCCCCGCCGCCAGTCCCGGAGGCAGGGAAGTTGGGAATCAGTTGTCTCTGGTTATTCCCGTTCCGCTCACTTGGGAAGGACGAGAAATGGGAAGGTCTAAACGCTGCAGACCTGCGCTGTGAAGAGACTCTAGTAGCAGCGGCGCTGGCTGAGGTTCTGGTCCGATCGGGGACTTTGTTTGAAGCAGCAGCACCGGAGTCAGACGGGCCGGAGGCCTTCATGTACGGGAGAGAACCTCTACCGGAGTGGGCCGGTGCTTCGGCCGGGGGATTCGGGGGATAGCTGCCACCAAATCCACCACCCTGTGGTGAGAAGCCTTTTTGTGTATCGGCTGCAAGGGAAACAAGGCGTAAATCCACAGCTGGCGAACCAGGTTGATGAATGACGGGAAGGTTTGAGTGTTGCTCACCTTGTGCAGCCCACCAACAGAACACACGCTCGGCCTGAACGAGGCAAATCAGCAAGATCCTGCAAAGTCATCCAGTCAGAACCGGTACAGCAACTGAACAAATGCTGAAAACGAATTCAAAAACTCACCCCAAACGAACTCCACGAGACATCTCTGTGTTCCAAAGGGAGCAGCCTGCTCCGACACACAAACAACTGCTCTGCTTGTTTGTGCGTCGGAGAGGTAGACTTTATCACAACCTGCATCCAATCACAGCTTCATGTGTCCGCCGGGATCCCTGAGAGTCAATCAACCAACCAATCAATCCGGGAAGCTGCAGTTCACGCTGGCAGGGTCACAGTGAGCAAACACCCCATGTTCACCAGGCGGAGTTCAAAGACTTCCTTCCTGGTATAAAGGCTGCGCTCCAGCAGTCCGTCAATGACCTCTTAGTCTGCTCCTCACCACTTCACCGTGACCTCGGCGCTGAAGGAGAGAGGGGACGGAGGAATCGCGAGGGTTTGGGGAAGGACCGACCTGCCAGGAGCCCAATGGACACCTCCAACGGGGCCGCGTGGTGATGTCATCGACGTGGGTCTGCAGACACAAAGTTCACCCAATGGACAGAAAGCTCCTCTCAGACACTTGGTCCCTGTGTTCTCACAGCGTTGCCTTCGGGGGGAAATGTGTGTTCTGACTCGTATTAATTGCAGTAAAGAGTGTCTACGTAACCACCATCAATGTTCAGATTCCCACATACGTCTGGAACCACGTTCCCCCTCATGAGGATAAGAGCTACAGAGCACACGGTTAGCGTGACAAAGTACGCGTTGCCCTCAAACTGTGTGTTTTGGAGTTCGTCCATCCAGTAAAGTTGTTTGATTAAGCGGTTCGATGGCCAGCCATACTTAGAAAGGTGGGGGCTGGGGGATAGAGGGGTCTATCGGGGTGGGGAGGCGAAGGGGGCAGGAAACAACAGGTCGCCATAACCTCATAGGAGTGGGGGGGGGCATTGGGAGCGTTGTGTACGGACATCAAGAAACTGATAAGGAAGATTGAGGGGGTGTCAAGGAGGCGTCAACCCCCTCAACGTCCGATGAATGTACAAAACGTAGTGCGGTAAAACCCCCTTGTTTCTTTCTGGATTCGAGTACGTGGGGTCCAATACAAGAAAGATGAAAGATCTGAATCTCCAGAGCGTGTTTGTTGCTCTGGTAACGGTCCTCAAGTCCTCAGAGTCCATCTCGAGTCCCCGATCGGACCAGAACCTCAGCCAGCGCCGCTGCTGCAAGAGTGTCTTCACACCGCAGGGGCGCAGCGTCCAAACCTAAAGCCCATTTCTTTTCCTTCCCAGGTGAGCGCTTTCTTGCCTCCGGGACCGGCGGCAGGGGGGACCGGTGGCAGGGGGGGCCCGGCTTTGCCCCGACAGACATCCACAACATCCCTCAGTACTTTGTTGGCTACGCCATCAGACGGCTGAGGACCCCGCGGACCAGAAGGGGGCGAGTGCCAGATGATGCTCTTTGCCCCGCTGCCGTCCTATACTGGCCCCCCAGCAGCCGTCCCAGAAGGCCCTCCTGCCGGAACCTCTGCATCCTTCCAGCTGCAGGGGCAGAGTGGTCACCCAGAGTCCAGGTGGACGAGGATCAGGTCTCCGCAGCAGGTGAGGGCTTTGTCGTATCTTCATGCTTGAATGTAGTTTCTGGTTTGTTTTTCTCCTTTCTGATGACACTCAGCGGCCCGTTTGACAAAGAAGAAGCAGGAAAGATGTGAACATAAGCTTGTTTATTATTGTATATTATCAGTAACATTTGATGTCAAATGTGTCTTTATAGTTTTTAAGAAACCAGTCCAAACAATTCTTGTATCTTTGCCCCAGACATCAAGTCGGTACAGAGGTCGACCAGGTACGAAAGCGGCTCTCGGTCCAGCTTCCCTCACGTCCTCTTGCCTGCAGGGACGAGTCGTCCCGCGTTGGCCCGCGCGCCCCCCCCCGGTGCGCCCCGCTCCTTCTCCAGCCGCGGCACGCAGGTGCAGCCCACGGCGATGGAGACGTAGAGCTCGGTGTACGCGTGGCGGCCGCCGGCGCAAGAGCCCGCTCTCCGCAGCAGGACGGAGGGCGCGTAAACCGGCGTGCTGCGGTAGAGGTCGCTCTCCCCCCCCAGCGGGCCGAGTAGGCAGCCCCTGCACAGGCAGTACGCCTCCGGGGACGTAAGCGCGGGTACCGGGCCGCGTCTTAAGATATCCTGCCGGGAGACTCCGACGGTTACTTAAATGTTTTAATGGCTCTCAGACGTTAAAAAATATAAAAATATACGTTTGGTTGGTCCCAAAATGTTTAGAAATCTAAACTTGTTTATTCCAGAAAATGTAAAATAGTCGAATATTCGTCTGCTCTTTTTATTTTATTTATTTTTTTTTTTTTTTATTATTTCAGGAATAAATGAAACACATTAAAGAATTAATATTTGCAAGAACGAGTCCACTACTAATTGTTGTGCATGAATGCGACTCGTTGCGTTGCACCTGTCTCACCTGTAGGCCCACGGCGACACGCTGAGCAGGTTGACCGGGAGGCGGCTGTCGCCGTCGGCCGGGGAGCGCGCGCGGCTCGGGCACGTCAGGTTGAGTTTGTCCTGCGGCTCCAGCTGCAGCGCGTGATGGAACGCGCTCATCACTCCCACCGAGAGCCGCCCGAACATCTGCTCCAGGATCTCCTCCGGCAGGTCCAGGCAGGCGCGGCCGCGGGGCGCCTTCTTCCGCACGCGGCGCGCCGCGGACCCCCCGCCGAGCAGCAGCAGCAGCAGCAGCAGCAGGAAGACGCGGGTCCGATGCGTCATCACGCGGAAATGCGTTAATACATAAGAAGAAGAATAAACAGCGGACTATCAGAGCACACGTGACCTCCTCCGGTTCTGACCGTTGACCCCGGTAAGAGGCTCGGAGGGCGCACGCGACGGAAACCCGTGAGCTCCGACCAGGAGAAGAGATGACCTCAGAATGATGCACGAGGAGCGAGCTGGAGGCTTGAGAAGAGAGAGGGGGAGTTTTCCTGCTGCCCCCCCACCTCCCCCTCCCCTCCGAACCCAAACTGATAGGTTACAAAATCGTCTTAAGCCCACTCCACAAATCATTTTTAAACTTTAAAAGAACGGCTGTGTTTTTTTTCTCACCCCCCCCACCCCCCCCCCCTTTAAAATATTCTGCCTCATCCAAAGAAATGGAAATCAATGATTCAATATTGTCAGTGAGGGAAAAAAAGACTTAAGAAGTAAAAATGTTCTCTTTTAATGATATAAACAAACAATAAATATGATGTAAATGACCAGTAAGTAACGAGTGACTGTGCGTCGGGGGGGCCGGGGTGACGGAGGGTCGGGGTGACGGAGGCAGCTACTCCGGCAGCAGGTCGTCTCCCAGCTCCTCGTCGGCGAAGTCGTCGCCCTCCACCCGCTTCTTGGCCCCCGTCTTTGGTCTCTCCGTCTGCGGCCCCAGGGGGTCCACGTAGGACGCATCTGCACACCAGAGGAACGTTTCAACTCGGCGCGCGGGGACTCGCCCCCTTCCCCCCCGCCCCCTGCACACGCCTACCTATTTCCTTGGGGCTGTTGGCCTCGTAGGGCTCGTTGGAACCAGGAAGTGACCTCATCTTGGCGCTCAGCCGCTCTCCTTTGGTGTTGCCGTGGCCGGCGTCTGCACAAAGCACACAAATAGACACACAAACAGACACACAAACGTCTCATTCTGAGGGTGAAGACAAGGAATAAGTGTTCTTACGGGTTGTGTAACATTCAGCAGACAGCAGCTGTGAGACACTCGGGAGGCTCTGCGCTGCTTCTCACGCCTCGTGAGTCAACATGGGGGGGACGTGAGACCTCGGTGTGTGTGTGTGTGTGTGTGTGTCGACAAACCCACACACACACACGATACAAGACGTATCCATGTTGACACAGATGAGGTTCGAGGTTCTGGTCTGTTGAGCTTAAATATTCAGACCTCCACCTCCGATTCAAACCAGACGGTGCTGCGTGTGTACGGACAGCAGCTGCTTTTAACATTATTCAGTTCTACTCTCCATCTTATGACAATCTCACTTTGTCATGGGATTTATTCTCCATCTTTTTAGGTATATCTTCTTCATGTCAAAGCAGCTGCTGCTTCTTATAATTACTATTATTCTGCAACTGCCAATGTTAAGGCTGGATTTTACTTGTACAATCATCACCACTTTTAATGAACAATTAAAGAGTGAATGAATGAACGGGTATTTTGACCGGCTGGCGGAGCGCTGCAGTGAGTGATTACAGTCAGCAGCAGCCCACATCTGGCTGCCAGGTAACCGTGGAAACGGAGGAGAGCAACAGCGAGCTGAAAAACAGGATCCCGTCGTCTCACAAACTGAAACCATGGGATGGAAAATCTGATCCCGTTTTCTTTTTCTCGTTGTGTTAGAACACACAAGTGGGAGTCACAGACGAGATGGACGACACAACTTGACTGTGTGCGACAGTTTAACAATTAAAGTCGCAACGAGCCTGGACGCTATATTTCAGAGTGGAGATCGATATGCAACTTTTACAACTCACTTTTCCTTCAGAAAAAAACCCAAAGTTAAAAAAGAAAATACAAGAAAACAGATTTTGCATCTTTAGTTCACCAGTTTCACATTAAAGAATGAAGCCGGTTTGAGAGCATGAGAAATAAAACCATCGACACAAACTGAAGAAAACAAGAGGGAAAACTTTCAGGTGCACTTGAGGTTTCTCTCAAATATCTGAAAGATTGGGTAAGTGGGTGAGTGGGCAGTCCCTCCCTCCCTCTCCCTCCCTCCCTCCCTCCCTCTCTCTCCTCATCCATCTGCATGCACACACTGATCAACATCACAGGTGCCCGACACAAGATTCCTGGACCAGATTCAGGTGTTTTGACCAAAATCACATCCTTATAAGGAAACATTGTGCACATGCAGAACATGAAATGGTTAATAAACTGGTGTGAAGCCAGAGAAGCCGTGTTTGTTCCATGCGGCTACGTGGCTCCCTAAATAAAGGAATGAATACTGAATGTGCTACATGGAGAAAGTCGGGCTCACGTGAAGGAAGAGGAGGCACTCCAGTCATTTTAGTAGAAACTAGACTTTGTGGTCAACGAAAGGCACAAAGTAAAATGTACTTAAAAGCAAAAGTATTTGCAGATCAGTCCATAAAATGATAGTTTCATATTTGATGTAGAACCTGATTTTGCAGAGATAAATAAAAATGACCGACTCTCTGTTTCGTTGGGATTGTAGATTCACGAGGAACCAGCCGAGTGTCCTGGAGCTCAAAGTCTACGCACCTCTGCCCGAGTCCGGCGGCGGGCTGAGGTGCCTGGACGCACCGGCTGAGGAGCAAACAGGAAGCGCGGCGAGAAAAGAGTCGGAGCAGCGGGAGGAAAGAAGCAGAGAGATTACGAAGGGCCGAAGAGCGTTTGCACACACGGGAAACCAGAGCGAGCTGGAGGCAGCTTTCATCCGCTCACCTGCTTTGACATCCGCCTCTGACGAGCCGTAAAAAGGAAGGAGGACAGAAGGTTTAACAACTTCAAAAGGGTCACGAGCAACATTTATCAAATCAGGTTGGATCCCGTTATTTATCAGCAGTAATGGCACCAACAGGTGCATGATGTGTATATATATTTATATACACATAAATCTAATTTATCTCGGCTGCTCTGTGGTGTCTGCACTCGGCCCCCGAGCCGCGTTTGTTTGGTGGATCTGTCGGGACGGCGTTAGACGGGAGGAGTGTGGTGTCTGCACGTGTACCCGTACCAACGCCGGCCTTCTTGGGAGAGGCGAGCACGGGCGTGGAGGCGCCTGCCGCCCGGCAGCGTGTGTGGAGGGAGACAAGTGAGGACACACACACACACACACACACACACAGGTCAAGGGATGATGACGTGTCGGCAACATCTCCCCTGTGAGGACTTTAACAAGACTCTCTGATGAGTGAACCGGACTTGTGAAATGTTAAGATGCTGCTTTGCGCTTTCCACACTCGAGCCACAGCGGGACCTCTGTTGCTATGGTGACGACAGACTCACCGGCGCTGCCCTCCCGTCCCTCTCGCCGGCTGCGGGCGCTGCCCTCCCGCCCCGCCTTGACGCGCTGCAGGAAGAGACAAGGAAGACGTTTTCGTTTGGATTGTGTGCTGAATGGAAACACATCTGGAGCCCGACCGCTGGATTCAGGACATCTTTCTTTCTTTTCACATTGACTTCAGTTGAAGAAAAAGCTGAGGGGGAAACATTAACCAAACAAAGACACGTGCAGGAGCCTCGAGGGGCAAAGGGAAGAGAAAAAAAAGGCTTTTTTATCGACGAGTCAACGCTGTGATTTACGAGCAGCTGCTTGTGATTTGACAAAGCCGTCCTCTTCATCCCTCCCTGGCTCGCGCGGGGCTCCAAGTCCCGCCTCCTTCACAAACTCCACTGACCCCAGAACACGTTGTCATCTTCAGCCGTAGACGGGAGTGTGCTTTTTAGGCGTGGTTGTGTGCCAGGGCTCCTCTACGGATCCACCAGGACGTATTTACACATGAAATAATCGGCCTGCTCCCGTGACCTCTTAAAAGCCACGTACCTGTTCTCTGATCTCCTTCATCTTCTCCGCTTTCTTCAGCTTGGTGGCGTACTCCTGCACGTCCTTCAGCCCCATGTCGGTGCACAGCCTCACCAGGAAACGCAGGCCTGCAAGCACACGGACAGTTTGATTCCCCTCACCGCCGCCTGCAGCCGCTCCGTGTAAAGTGGCGCGAGTCGGGGAGATTTACATTCCACGTTCTCTGGAAACCTGCGGTGGATGTCTTTGTACGTTTCCAGAGCTTTCTGGTAGTTTCCTGTGAAGACGGAACAAGAGGTTCTGCGTTTAGAACTGTAATCGGGCCGGTTGCTGGTGAAATAGACCCGAGGGGTTGTTTTTGTACACGTTACTGTATCGGAATAAACCTGATTTGAGTTAATGAATTGTTCCTTCTCACCACTTCTCCTGTAGCAGCTCGCCACCATGAGCTGCCACTTCACCTGGGCGGGTCTGAGGAAGAGCAGCAGAATTCATATTTAAAGAAGTTCAACGCTGCATTCAGAAAGTATGATGAGACGATCCAAACAAGATTAATAAGACTTGAATCACGTCAGAAAAGTGTAGAAATAACATTTAAGAGGCTGAAAGACACTTTTTTTTAGCTTTCTTATAGATGCATTTAATCTCATTTGATTGGATAACTCAACCTTTAGTTATGAGTTCAAGTGCATTTACACATAAACATTATGACACCAAGAACGTTGAGACACAGAAACACCAGAAAACAACATTAACAAGAACAAAGTGAAAAGAAGCACAGAACAAAAACAGCTGTAAAACAAAGCAATCAAGCTTCAGTGCGTTTTATGAAACTATTTGAAGTGATATGTTTATGAATTAACATGTCCTAAATATGTTTAGGAATTTCACATGTTCTAAATAGGGCAGCACGGTGGCGTGGTGGTTAGCACTGTCGCCTCACAGCAAGAAGGTCCTGGGTTCGATTCCGCCCAGTGGCCTTTCTGTGTGGAGTCTGCATGTTCTCCCCGTGTCTGCGTGGGTTCTCTCCGGGTTCTCCGGCTTCCTCCCACAGTCCAAAGACATGCTCTGGGGATCAGGTTAATATGTCTCTGTGTAGCCCTGCGATTGGCTGGCGACCAATCCAGGATGTACCCTGTCTATCGCCCGAAGTTGGCTGGGATGGACTCCAGCCCCCCCGCGACCCTGTGTGCAGGATAAGCGGTTTGACGGATGGATGGATGGACATGTCCTAAATATGTTTATGAATTCCACTCAGGTTTTTTGTCTCACTCGTACATTCGCCACAGATCTGTGTGGTTCTTCTCATCACCCATCGGCTGTTACTTACTGGATCAGCGTGGCTCTTTCAAAGTACTGGATGGCCTTCTCGCAGAAGTGCGTCTCGATGTAATAAGCCCCGAGCCACTCGATCACATCCATGTTGGAGGGGAAGTACCTGAAGGACTAGCAGCAGACACGTTGCGTTCAGATCGCTGCGCTCCGCATGCAGGAACACACACACACACACACACAGCGGTTGGCTCCTGGTACCTCGTAGTAGTACTGCAGCGCCTGCGACTTGTCCCCCTCGCCGTCGTACAGCTCTCCCAGCTTGGCCAGTGCCCGGGGGTCGGTGTGGGTCACACTCAAGACCTGGATCAACCACTCGATGGCCTGCTGGGGATCCTCCAGGAGCTCATACCTGAGGGCGGGGGGGGGGGTCAAGGAAAACAAACCCCCACAAACATCCACACGGGAAGCCGCTCCACACAAACGCAGTCACGCCGCCTTCTTCTCGGCAGGATACAGAGTGGTCAGCTGGTACATGACCTGGGCGCTGTTCCTCAGGATGGCGTGGAGCTTCAGGAAGCAGTCCAGAGCTTCCTCCAGGCGATTCAGCCTCTTGTAGGTCAGACCTGGGATCAGGGGGACGGAGACAAAGGTCTGATGAACAAACTCTGGGCTGAGACTTCATACGACGCCCTCGCGTGTAGGAAAGGTGACACAAAGGTGACCATGGGCTGTGGTCTCCTTACCTGTGTCCGTCATTACTTCTCCACCTTAGTTTATGGAGAAAGTGACATTCCACCCCAGAGAGTAAAACATGTAACTTTAAATTTCGGCTTTTATTTGAGGCGCCTCACACTGCCGGCGTCGCTGTTTTCCTCTTTGTATTTCATTATGCTTTTATTGTGAAGACGAGGTCGTCACAGGGGATTTAACTTGCTGCCCCTCTGAAGGGCCTCCACTCCTTCAGAAGGTCACCCCACTAGATGTTACCCAGGTTGTAGAGGGCCTCGGTGCAGGAGGAGTCGTTCCTCAGGGCCTCCTTGTAGAACTCGGCGGCCTTCTCGTGGTCCTGCTTGATGAACACCGTGTTGCCTTTGTTGATGAGCGCCGCCGGGTTGTAGCGGTCGGCGGTCATGGCGAGGTCGGCGTATCGGTCGGCCTGTTCGTAGTCCTTCTCCTGTGGCGGGCGAAGGATGGGGGGGGGGGGCTTCAGTAAATGAAGCTCCTACGTTATACACCCATGGATGAGGGAAGCTTACCAGGAAATAGAGGAAGGAGAGGTTGGTGGCCGCGGCGCTCTTCACTCGGCTGTCCTTCTTCTCAAAGGTCTTCAGCGTCTCCACGGCCTGGTGACACGTGAAGAAAGACTATCAGGGCAACCGGGATACCTCTGACAAACATTTTGTTTCAGCAAATAACTAAATGTGTCGTGGTTATTTTAGAAAAATACAATAAATAAAACAGATCGAGTTTAATAAACCATGAAGTAAATTACGAGTTAAGAGAATTAAGAGTTTAATGAATAACCGGATACACATTGGGTTTATTCCATAGAACTCACATTTGATTAGTTAACATAGGATAGTACACACACACACACACACACACACACACACACACGCACACGCACACGCACACGTTCTGCTTTATGAGGGTGGAAAAAAGGTCAGCGACACACTCCAAACCTCACGGGGGGGGGGGGGGGGGCACACGTACCTCCACCTGAGAAGGAGGCGAGGGAGCATGGAGGGCAAGCAGAGGGGTGAGACGAGGTTAACGTGAACAGAGATGTCGTAAACATGAAAGATGGAAAATAATAGAAAGAAAATGACGAGCGGACGCCAGGGGACGTGGAAGGGAGGAACCACTTTCTCTCTCTTTCTTGTTTTTATTCATCTGATGGATTTTAATTACACTTAAAACTGCTTCTTTTTTCTGTTTTTATTTATTTTTTAATTTACAGCACTTTGAGCCACATAAATTCTATAAATTTGTGCTGTATAAAAAAGTAATATGATTATATTAACAAATTCTAAATAGAATTACTATTGCGACATGTTTTCCAGGTTCAAATACGTAAAGAATTGTGTTAAAAACGACAATTAAAAATGTACCACTCTATTGCCAACTAGAAAATGTACAGCACGGATGTTTGGGGCCGGGGGGCCCGAACGGAGTGTCGCGTCCCTTTGACGGTCACCTGGTTGAAGTCCTTCTGGCGCAGGTAGCTGATGGCTTTGTTAATCTCCAGGTCGTTGGCCAGCTCGACGTACTGAGAACTCTTCACCATGTCCACGCACCTGGGAACGAGCAGCACACCGGTACCACCGGTACCACCGGTTCAGGTTCTGATGAGATGCTTTTGGACTTTAACAACAACGTTGCCTTTTTTTACTGCTTGGTGCACCTTCATATTCCTTAATGTACATTAAGTACCAGAAGTGTAAAATAAATACATTGTATTTATATTGTTGACAAGGCAACTCTCAGTGGTTAGACCTAGTTTCTACAAACAAATGGGAATTAAATACGTTACAGATTTAACTCTGTTAGTGGCTTTAAAAGGTTCAAAACAAATCCTCTCGTACATCCTGAACCCTCCGATGTTGAGAGGAAACAAACAAACAAACTAACCAGTCGAATCCGGTGGCAAAAGAAGTCTCGATGGCCGGAGCGATGAGCTTAGCCGCCGTCATGATGTACTTCTCAGCCAGGACTTTTCTGTGAGGAGGAAGACGACATGAGGAACGGCATCGGGCTGCAGAGGACCAACGCGGAGCTTTTGGTTCTTACAGGTCTCGTTCCATCTGGTGGAGTTTGTCGTTCTTAATGGCCTCGATGACCAGTTCAGAGTCGCTCTCGTCCTGAGAGACGGGACAACATTTGCATGAAGATTTTTATTTGCTTATTCTTGGAGGCATTCTTATTATCGTATTCAGCATCTGCAGCATTTTCAGTCCCGTGGAAACTGTGTTGAAGGCTTTTTGTTTCATTTTAAAGTCCTGCTCCAAACAACTGACCTGTGGATCTTGGGAATGTTTAATTGTGAGGAATGTATTGAATTTGGAATTACTAGCAGATATTGTGTCATAATCACCTTACAAAGAAACAAAATCCTCTATTGAATAAAGTTAAAATAATAATAAACCTTTCAAAGATCGTTCCACACATTCTGAACACAAAGAGGATTAAAAGGGAAGAATAAACACATAAAAACAGAAAGTTAAATCAACTAAAACGCCTCCGCTGGAATTGATTGTGAAAAACAGTTTCATTTTAATAATAGAAGATCTCCATCTCCCAGCTGTTAACACTTCCTGTTTCCGCTATAAGCCACATGCGTCGCCGCAGACTCACGCTGGACGGGATGTACTTGTCCTCGTCGTCCACGCCCAGGGGGACGGAGATGAGCTTCTGGAAGGCCTTCTTCATCCTCTCGCGGTCCCCGATGGCGTAGTAGCACAGGATGAGGTTGAAGCCCGTCTTGACGTTGGGGCTCTCACTCATGATGTGCTCGAAGGACGTGATGGCGTCCGAGTACTGGCCCATGCGCACAAAGACCACGCCGATGTTCTGCATGATCTTAATCCTCATCTCCTTGTGGGCGTTGGAGATCTGATCCAGGGCCATGCGGTAGAACTTGATGGCCTTCGGGTAGCTCTTCTGTCGGACGTAGATGTTGGCCATGTTGACCTTCAGGCGGCCTGCGGGGGTCATTTAAGCACCATGGTTGGAATATGAGCTTTTGAGACAAACGGCCTGTGACCACAGAGCTGTTCCTTTAATTTAAATAGTAGTTAATGTTGCACTTTGACTTCCTCTCACAGGTATAGTAACAGTAGGGTACTTGTTACCAATGTCTCTTGTTTCAGCCTTTGAGGACGTGTTCGTAATCATAATAATGTGCACTTAGAAGTTGCACCAGCAGATATCACAGTATGATAAATATCCTCTCTCATTTCATGGACATATAAAAAAAAACAAAGGAGGTTCAGTCCCGTCTTGTGGAGGGCACAGGTCTAAACACATGGGCTCACCTGCGTTACTAAACATCTTGTTCCTCACGATGACCTGGTAGCTGTTCAAGGCCTCTGGAAACATCTCGTTGTTCGCATACTGGTTGGCAAGGTTGAGCAAAACCTGGAAACGACCGACACGCTCAACATTTCCACATGGAATTATTACACAAAACAACAAAAGACAAAGCAGGCAAACAGTTAGAGTATTTCTCCAGCACCGACGAATAGACCAATAGACCAGGATGCAATGAGGCGGTAAATGTGTAGGTGGCATTTTATACGAGAAGAGCGAGAAAAACTGCAGGGAATCGGGAAGAGGAGAAGACGGCTGGAGGAGAGGAAGTGATTCCTCTAATTGTTGAGAATGACAATTACTAGACGTCAGATAATAACTGACACGGCAAAAGGAGTTTTGAGGAACTGAGTGTGGAGGAAAAGGCTTGTGACGTAGAAGCTAAATGCTGCTGCTTACGGAGTAGGTGAGGTCCAGATTGATGTGGTCCCCGTTGCCAGACTTCTCCCTGTGTCTCACCAGGGTTCTCTCCTTCCTCCCTGCCTCTTTGGCCTTCTCAAGAGCCTGCAGAGACACATCAGAGCACAACGCCAGCAGGGGAGGAAGTATTGAGCGCTTCAGTTGCAACGACTTAAAACCCACCATGTTGTCTAATTCAGTAAGAGGGTTTTTTATCAGATCAACAATCAATACAAATGACAAATGAGGCGCTTCTCTTCTGCTAAACAGAACGTTGCGTCTGACCAGCTGTAAGGCTCCGGTGCTCTGCGCCATGCAGCTCTCTTCTATCAGCTCGTTCACTTTCTTCTCCAGGATCTTGATCTTCTCCTCGGGACTGCAAGGACAACAAAAAGAGAAACACAAGTTGAGACACTGCTGCTTCTTCACCAGTTCCACCGTAATAAGTGTTAATTAATGATATTGATTGCTTCTTTGCGTATAAGAATCAAATACCTCATTCTGACTGGATATGCACACGCTGATCTTAGGTGGTGCCGTTATAATCCTAAACAAAACCCTCAACCTGTGAGTTTAAACATTACCTAACAACTATTTTGTTCAGCAAGACATTTATTTAACAATGATATTTTACACTTATTTGTGTACATTACATTTGTACACACTAATTATATTAGACTAGGTTTGGTAAGTTGCTGTTTTACTACTATTGCTGTTATTATAGCTTTTATTACACGTTATTGGTGCATTCAACTTTGACCATTCCTCTTATGCTTTTGACGTCTGTAGTTTTCAATTTGTTTGGTTTTCTGCTTGACAATGATCTGTGAAGCACTTTGAACCTGGATGAATACAAGAGTGTTAACTCACGTGTCCTCGTTCTTCGCTTCAAGTGGAGCTGCAGGGCCTCTGGACTGGCCCAGAGGGTCAAAGGTGGAGCCTGAAAGCACATATCGTGCTTTACTGTTTATTACAATCCTGCTTCATGCCTGAATGTCCTTTGGCTTTACGGAGATTGAAAACAACAAAGATAAATGGCAGTTTCTGTTTGACTCCCTGGAACTCACCCCGGGTCATGGAGGAGGTGTAACCCGCCGCCCTGACGGCGGTCATCGGTCGGGCCGCTCCATCCTGTCACATTAAAAAATAGCAATAAAAAGTCAAAACTAAATCACATTGTTTTCCGTATTTACTCCATTTTTCATTTATTTGTAAAACAGAGCCATCTTAATAATATTTAGCCGGTTCTTTTTTTCCGCTTTGAGTAAATACACACGAACAAAGCAGTGTTTATAAAACCTACGACAAACGCTCTAAAATCAGCCCACATGAAGCACTGACTGACATCTGTCGATTATGCTGAATAGAACCTGTGTGGGTCCACCGATCCGCCTCACCTGCACAGCTCCAGTCATGGGTCGGCCCATTGAAGAGGCTACAGGGACCCGAGCCTTCAGGAAACGAAAGGGACAAGACAGGTGAAGGTGATTTAGGCACGTTTACCTGAAACTAATCTATTACACAGAACCTGTTTATAGGTAGGAGTGTAAATGCGAAGCGCTCATAGTTGTCTTGGTAACTATTCCGGGTCGTTGTACTTACTCCAAAGGAAGTAGCTAAGGGCCGAGCTCCAATGGCGGTGCCAGGAATTTTTGCAGTCATCTGTGTAATTAAAGACATCTTATCATGAGTATTAAGTAATTAATGTAATCATTTCTCCCTCTTAATCACTCCCTCACTCCTCACTTTTACAAAACATCCCTCAAAAAAAGTCCCTCAAAATCTGTCTTAAGTACAGAACTTGAGTTTATGTAGTAGAGGAAGAAATGTCAGAGTAAAAATACACAGTTCATTGCCGCATTACTAAAAAAGTAAAAGTACAAAACTTCATCAAAGTATGAAAAAGTTCAACAAGTAAAAGCACTCAATATGCAGAAGGATTCATTTCATAACCAAACATATTGTTTATAGTATTGCAGTATTCTAATAGTCAAAGCGTTCATGTGTTCATCACTATAATGCTGTAAAGGTGAGGCTGAGCATAATATACAGTAATGTATTAGATGATTATATTCTTTAGTAAATAACAGTAGGTACTCACCGGAGGTCTTCTTCCGTGACTTGTCCTCACTGCTTGCTGGAAGCCCACATCATTCTCTAACTCCTTTAAATTGACAATAATTATTATTATTATTATTTTAATAATAATAATAATAATAATAATAAACCTTATCCAGAAAGCACTTCTTCAAAACAAAGTTAGAGTGAGTTTTATGAAGAAGTAAAAACAATGATTTGAAAAAATACTCTAAAGAGCACAAATGAACAAGAACGATCTCCATATAATAAATACTTGTATGTAAATACAAATTGGATTCAAGAAGTGTCATTGGAGATATCTTGTTAATTCAAGCCACAAACCCTGTAGTTAATTAAGAATAATGAATGTTTGTTTTCTAGGATCATAAGCAGTCTGATGAGAGGCTATTTAGTCTTGAAATATTCCTCGTCCGTATATTTAAAATGAGTGATAGCCAATTCATTAACTTCAAATGCTTCATGTTGTTATTCACCATCTATCCAAACCTTAGCTTCGAGCTGTGCAGCTAAACTGCCACCTTCAGAGCTAGCTAGCTAGCCAGCATAGCCTAGCTTGCTAACTCACCTCGGAGTCAAATGTGGGATTATAGTCGTTGTAACCGGAATAAAGATCCTCCTCCTCCACCGCCAGGTGAACGTTTTCCATCTCTCTCTCTCTGGCGTGGCGGTGCAACGACAGGACCATCAATAATACGGACAGTGATGTGTACAAATACAGAAGGGGGAGAAGTTTGTTGTCGTTTCAAAATTTCAATCCCACAGTTCAACGCGGCGTGGGCGGGACAGTTTAGGTTTTGAAACATCTGATTGGTTTGGCACGCGTCAATCACAAACTAACATGAACGCAATTGGTCGAAGCTGATTTCATCCGTTGCTAGGATACAGATGTAAGCCAACGGCTAGATTTCCACGTTCACAGCGTAGTTTCATCTTTAGCGATGCGAATATGACAATAATCAACTTAATCAACCATCGTAGCAGCAAATGAATGGCCCATATTTGTCTAGGTCTGTGTTTTAGATGATGTTAATGCAGTTTATTTCCGCGTAGCGTTTGTCCTTCTAAGCTGCCGTAGCTTCACTCGGCAGCGTGACCGGCGAGGGGCGGGGCGACGGGTTGGTGGCAACGTTCGTCTGATCCGATCTCCTCACAAAGTCCTAAAATGAGCTCTTCTGACATGAAGATCATTACTGTGATCGGCAGGTGAGCTACAGAAGACGTTTGCACGTTGTTTAAGCGTCGCATTGAGTTGTTGTCATGTTGATTGTGCAGCTACTTGTGTAGCTAACATGGGACTTATCCATGACTTCCTTTACCTTAAGTGTGTTCAACGACTAAGATAATAACCTTCAATCTTTTACTGTTACACATTTGCTGCCACTCTTCCGATCAAGAGCCTGCGTTTGTTGACGGAAATGTTACATCGTCTGAACACAAAGTCAACAACTAACCTGTAAACTCAATCACGTTTTATTTATAGCTTTTATCCCCCAAAAATGCTGCATTATATTGGATGATTATCAGTCTATTGATAAATTATAAGATTATATAGAATAACAAAGATGCATCCATTATTTATCATTGATTAGCCATTTCATCGTAGTTACGCTACACAACTCTTTGTTGTGTTATTTAAATCACTTAAATATACTCCAATTCATGATTGCATTGTCCAAATTACTGATTTTCTGTATATTATTCTAAAAGCTGTTCTATGTCTATGGAAGAAGTGGCGGCGAAGAGAGCAAACTGTGGCGTTGTTATTGTTTACCAGGGTTACGCTGAGACTAAGCAAACATCCTGAATGACTGTTTCTGCTTTGCTTCAGTGGGCTGATCGGCCGCTCCTGGGCCATGGTGTTTGTCAGCGGAGGCTACAGCGTTAAGATCTACGACAACCAACCAGGAGAGTCGGCCAAGGCCGTCGTGGAGATCGGGTCAGCCTCCTTCTCCACCCAGCGCAGATCAGTGCAATCTTAATTAATGTGGCGTTGCATATAAACACACAACAATCGCTTTTTTCTGCATATGGGTTACATATTACTGTCCGCCTGATGACATCGCTGAACCAGTCTCACTGCTCCTCTATGTGAACCAGACGCACTTTAGTCCTGATCCTCTATGTGAACCAGTCTCTGTTTAGTTGGTCCCCGATCCGGCTCCAGGGTTGGACCTGCACTGGGAGCTCTGGAGGGAGGAGGAGAGCTTAGCTCCCAGCAGCAGTAGCAACGTCTCCTCCTCCAGCAGCTTCTCCTCTCTGGAGACCCAGAACGTAGCGCTGGACCCGCTGGAGGGAAGGGGGGCCTGGGAGAACCAGGACCGGGGCTGAGAGGCAGACTGTGAGAGCTGCTGCAGTAGAATGAGAGGTTTTCTAAAGGGAGGCTGGTGGTAAGAGACACCACCACTTTAGTCCACGCGGGGCGGCCCAATCAACAACAAGTTAGTTATTTTTTAAGTAAGTAAAGTCAGACAGTTCCTCCTTGCACAGAAGTCACATGGACACTGCATGACCTCTAACTGTAGAGGTCATGCAGTGTCCTCTAACAAACAGACAAACCCGTGTTTCAGGCCTAAAGAGTCTCTCCTGGCCGACTCACTGCTAGTTAAACATTAACGTGGGATGACAAAGGGCCGGACTAACGCGACCGACCTTTAACCCGCTGCTTTCCTCCTGAGATGGACAGTGGAGGGAGTCATCGGTCGCTCAGCCTCCTCTTGTCTGTGTGTGTTTTCTTGCTGATTTAAAACTATATTGTTATTGAACACAAAGTACGAGAAGGAGATTTCAGTATGTTTCAGTGCCTCTTTAGACTTTAGCACATTCTGATGATCATCAGCGTAGTTACCACACAAACCTGCTGCTTTCACATTTTGATAAAGGTTCAACTTTAAAGGAACGATTCCTCCGTCTCTCTTGTTTTGTGGGTCTGTGTGCGTGTGTGTGTGTGTGTGTGTGTGTGTGTAGGAAGCAGCTGGAGGAGCTGCAGGAAGCTAAAATGCTGCGAGGTCAGCTGACCGCCACGCAGCAGCTCGCTCTGCTCAGCGGCCATGACGAGCTGGCCGAGGCGCTGCAGGGCGCCTTCTTCGTTCAGGTGACTCGCCCGACCGCCTCACTTCGCCTCCTTCATCCGACCGCTTTGGTTTCTTCAAAGATTTTAAGAATTTACAAAAGTTACTACTTCTTAAAGAAATCACCCAACTGTACAGGAAGGAGTTAAATGCTGCTGCTGTGTTAAAGCATTGGTAATAACGTCCCAGTCGTGTCGTATCGTATCAGGTAGGGAATGTGTCCTTACCCCAAGTCAAGGAGTTCAAGTACCTCGGGGTCTTGTTCACGAGTGAGGGGAAGATGGAGTGTGAGTTTGGGTGGAGAATCGGAGCAGCGGGGGCGGTGTTGCACTCGCTTTACCGCACCGTTGTGACGAAAAGAGAGCTGAGCCGGAAGGCAAAGCTCTCGATCTACCGCTCAACCTTCGTTCCTACCCTCACCTATGGTCATGAAGGACGGGTCATGACCCAAAGAACTAGGTCACGGGTACAAGCGGCCGAAATGGGTTTCCTCAGGAGAGTGGCTGGTGTCTCCCTTAGGGATAGGGTGAGAAGCTCAGCCATTCGTGAGGAGCTCGGAGTAGAGCCGCTGCTCCTTTGCGTCAGGAGCCAGTTGAGGTGGTTTGGGCATCTGGTGAGGATGCCCCCTGGGCGCCTCCCTAGGGAGGTGTTTCAGGCACGGCCAGCTGGGAAGAGGCCCCGGGGAAGACCCAGGACTAGGTGGAGGGATCACATCTCTGCACTGGAACGCCTTGGATCCCCCAGTCACAGCTGGTAGATGTGGGAAAGGGAAGTTTGGGCTCCCCTGCTGGAGCTGTTGGTTTATTTTCTAGTTCTCCATTAATCCAACGCACCCTGAATCAAATATCTGGAGTGATCTCAGAACATTCTGATTCTTCCTTCAAAGGATTTGTCCTCAAGGGGGCGCAACGTCATGTGTTAGTGTGTGAGAGGACGACTCCGACACAAGGAGTCTAAATAAAGCTCAGCACAAACTATATATGTATATATATCTCGATGTATAAGTCTTTATTTTAATTGTTTGTTCTATTAAATACATGAATACAAATACAAAGAGACAATAATAACACAACACAAAAGAGGTTTTATATTGAACTGATTTGAGGTATGATTAATTAAGATAGTTACACGTCAGCTAATAACGAACACGTGTATTTTGTGCATATTTTACTTCCCTCAATCAGGCTGCAGGCGTGTAGACCCCCCCCCCCCCTTCTCACATTGATGAAGAAGTCATTTCTGTGTTATTTTACACATAGAGGAAATAATTCCCCGCGCAGGGGGAGCCGGCAGGGGTTAGATGTCTCCTGCTCCATGAGCCCCGGTCGCCCCAGAAACGGGCCGAGAGAAGAGTTGTCACTTTGCCAAAACAGTTGCCATTGGCGACCCCTCGAGAGCGAGTGAACTACTGAACCACCCGGAGCAGAGACCTGCAGAGAACACTCGATGACTCGACTCCTCGTCTTCAGTCGCGCTTACAAAAACAAACCGTCTCGGTGGCCGTTATCGGTTTAACTGAGCTCTTCTTAAGCCGCAGAGAGCCGGACCGGAATAAATCAACCAGGGACAAAAGAGACTTCTGTCCTAGAAGCTAAATGGCATGTAGTTTACCGTGTGATGAGTTTTTGGTGTTGAGATAGTTGCCTTCTTTTTCCCCCGATAGCAACACCACAATGTCCTTATCTCCGGAGCCTTTTCTAAAGGAACCCTCGAGCACAGAGGCCGAGAGTTCAGTGTCCGAGATGACAGATGCCAAGAGGTCAGAGCCTGAGAGGACAGAGACTGAGAGGACGAGACTGAGAGGACAGAGCCTGAGAGGACAGAGCCACAGAGCCCGAGAGGACAGAGACTGAGAGGACAGAGACTGAGAGGACAGAGACTGAGAGGACAGGAGCCTGAGGAGACTGAAGGACAGAAGCCCGAGAGGGACAGAGACTGAGGAGGGCAGCGACTGAGAGGACATAGTCTGGAATGAAAAGAGCTTGAGATAACCAGATGCGACAGAGCACGAGAGAACAGAGATGAGAGGACAGAGACTGAGAGGACAGAGACTAGAAGGAACAGAGCGACAGAGCCCGAGAGGACAGAGACTGAGAGGACAGAGACTGAGAGGACAGAGACTGAGAGGACAGAGACTGAGAGGACAGAGCGACAGAGCCCGAGAGGACAGAGACTGAGAGGACAGAGACTGAGAGGACAGAGACTGAGAGGACAGAGACTGAGAGGACAGAGCCTGAGAGGACAGAGCGACAGAGCCCGAGAGGACAGAGACTGAGAGGACAGAGACTGAGAGGACAGAGACTGAGAGGACAGAGACTGAGAGGACAGTGCTAGTCTTTGTCTCCGTGTTTGCACACCACCCACGCGGCGGCGCCTCGCTGCTCACACAGTCGGCAGGTATGTGCGTTCTTCAGAGCGCTGACGTCCCGCCGCTGCTCCCGAGGGCCCGCCCCTTTCCGCCGCCTCCACGGGGACGGCGGCAAAAGCCAAACTAGTATCCAGTTGGAAAAGCACGGGAACAGTTTGTCCTTCAACTTCAAGATTTGGTGTAAATTGCGCGTTTGTATCTTTTTTTCCTGACGAAAGATTGACGACAAAAGTTAAAAGATCCTTCGATTCACACAAATACACCGTTGGACCTTTTAGTGGTATTTATACTACTCTATAGACAGTTTTGGGTTGTATTTGTCAGTACATTACCAA